TCAGCAGGATTAAAGTAAAGCCTTTTTTTTTGACTGCTCTTGCTTTTTGAAAGGAAGATTATATACTGCAGCAATGAGTGTGTGTGTAGCATGTGAGGCACTGGTGAGGAGTGTCTGGCCAGTGTGGCCGTGGAAGAGGAGACAGGTGCTACTCCCTTTTCTTCTTGCTGGCACCTACTGCTCCGCAGCATTATCAGCAGCAATGAGTGTGTCCCAGTGTGTCTGTGCAAAGCATGATCAGATCTCCTTCCTGTGGTTTCCACACACAGTGGTGACTTATGCCTATGTGGAGAATGGGTGCCCAAAGAAGGCAGCATCAGCAAGTGTAACTGGACTTGGACTCCACTGGTGACAATGCCAGCTTCTACTGCTATGGTGCCATGGTGTGCTTTAGTCTGGGTTGTGCTGGTGCAGGGGTTTGCAGGGCTGGCCAGGGAGCTAGGAAGTGATGTGTGTTTTCACCAGGCTGACTTCTATCTCCAGTTCGCTGCCAGGCCGAGGCTGAATCTCCAATTAGCTGTTCCTTTAGTTCTAGTACTCAACCTTTTTGTTAACAGTTTAAAAAGTGCATGGAAAATGAGAACCCTGATGTGATAGAATTCCTGAAAACCTTTACTAGTCTTAATTGTATTAAAATGTCAAGGTTATAATTCTGAGCCACAATAAGAAGCAAAACTTAAATAGTGGCTGGGTTAAGAGATAAGATTTGCATTTGTGGCCTTCCCACATCCTGGGAAGAAACATGCCAAATGTGTTTTGATGTTTAGCTTTTTATGCAAATTCCAATAATTGGGTTTCCTGATCTACTCAAACTTCATATTGAGAAGGGTGCTGCTTTTTGGTTTTGGGGTTTTGTTTTGTTTTGTTTTTCCCAGCAGCTGGCCAGGAGCCAAAACGCAGCAGCATCTCCATTTGCATAAAACCGAAGAGATTACAGCTGCCTTCATCTCCAGTACAGATGCAGGGTACCACCCGCAGAGGCAGCAGGTTCCAACTTGCTGTGGTCCTTTTGATTTGTGCTACTTACCATTTGGATCAGGAGGGAGCAGTGCATGCCGGGATAACGTGTTGTCTCTGTGGGTGGTGCCTCCTTATTAAAGGTGAGGGTAAGCAGGGGCCTTTCAAGATCTCCAGGCCAGCTTGTGTTCTGCTTGCTTGTATAGATCCTCTGAATGACCTTAACTTGTAAAAGGGCAAGGATGCTTGTTAGAGCTGGGAGGAAGAAAAAGGAGCGCAAAACTGGATCAGGTAACAAATGCAAGGCTTCCAGAGGGATAGATGTTTTCTAGAAGGCTTTTTCCGAGTATGAAAGGAGTTTGAAAAGAGTATTTAGAAAATAGCCTGAAAGTTGGAATGAGTGCTCTTTTTCTTTTGAGTGCATACTGGCTTCTCCATTGAGCCTGCATGAATGTAGGATGGAGTGGTGCTGACAGCTGTCACTTTACTGGCCTCTTAGTTCTGTAGCCTTTCATAAATTTTAAAGCTCACTGCCCTCAGCTTGCCAGCCTTTAGCCTTAAATTTTGGTATTTAATGGGTCCCCAAGTGCTTTATAAACCACATGCCTAAAACACGGATGAAATATTACACCAAACTCCAAGGTGACAGTGAACACTTTTAAAATGGTGGAGACTGACTCTGCCCCTCTTTGTTTTCATGAAAATTCAATCAAATAAAGGCCCTTTGGGAATACAGTGAATTAGAGAAGGGTGGTGTTAGTTGTGGATCCATAGTTCA